AGGCTCGTCGCTTTACTATACTTTCCGCTGGGCTGAGTGGTCGAAGGACAAACGATCATACATTGCCTATCCGTTTTTCCCGATCTTCAAAGTTAGGTCTAATTTATGTTCATTGACCCGTGCAGAGAACATTGAACGAAATGCCCGGTATATTATCTGAAGTATGGTAACAGTACGACAAACAGCCATCAACTGGTTCTATGAATAGAAGGACATGTATGGATGGCGATCGAAAAGCCGGCGCAACATGCTGTGGGTATAACATTTGTCCTTGAATTATCGTCCACATGTATTCAGGTTCTATGTATGTTCGCCGATGACTCTGCATGCCTAAAACTATTCCTGCCAAAGGAAGCAAAAGTGAACTTATAACATTACGGTTTATATTAACCTTGTGTATTTATATTTAACTGTAATAAGTAATAAACATTATGTATCATTAACTATTCCTGCTTTTCTCGCATCGGGTTTGTCTTACAAGGTTTTCTCCGTCTGGAAGGACCGAAAGTGACCAGTCAAAGTGATCCCTCGCTTATGATCCAGCAGCTTTGCAAATAACCCTGACTGATAACTAGTTTTTTTTTACAAATACTGCTAACTAACTTTACTTGCATCTACTCAATAAACGATTTATTTTTTAAGATTTATGTGCACTTCCTTTTTTATGCCAGAAAAGAAGTGCAAGCAACTACATATTTGCCTATGCTTCACAGCAATTGATGTCGTGACCAAACGGCACGATCGTTTTGAATACCACGTCATAGCGCCGTATTGCCGCCCGTTGCAAGGCATGACCAAAAGTCGCTGGTGCTGGGGGACCGTTTCCCTCACAGCTTTTATGATTTTGAATGTCAGTTCTACAATAAATTTTTATGCAGCTCAACAGTTTGCGATACCACCACTAAGTTCGAAGATATTGCGCATAACCATTTGCTAAGTGGCTTGCCTCTAACCACCTCGCTATAGCTGGTTCATAGATATTTTAGTGTCCGATTAATGCTTAATTTTTGTTGAAACTTTGTCGGAGAAACAAAATACATTAAATAATCTGCAGTTCCAGAATATACGTGAAAGGTATGATCATCTTACCTATTGGCCTGCTTCCAGTAACCGAGCTATTGTTGCTACTTTATTTAAATCTGACGCGGCAATTTTATTTTCGTCTTTCTGTTTTGACGCCTGTGGGTGTTCTAGTAAGATGGGCAACGAAACTTCACTTCCCGAATTGTGTTCCACATTCGACGTTGAGGAGATAAAAAGACTCGGAAAGCGTTTTAAAAAACTGGACCTTGATGGATCAGGCTCCCTCAGTGTTGAAGAATTTATGAGTTTACCAGAACTGCAGCAAAATCCTCTAGTATCCAGGGTTATAGACATTTTCGACACAGATGGGAACGGAGAAGTCGATTTCAAGGAATTCATTGAGGGGATGTCCCAGTTCAGCGTAAAGGGCAACAAAGAGGCAAAATTAAACTTTGCTTTCAAGATCTATGATATGGACGATGACGGTTTCATAAGCAATGGCGAACTATTTCAGGTTAGCTCGGATGTATTACTGTAAATTTTATTTGGAAGTGACTACTTAATTTTTGACTTGTGGAGTGCATGGTCGTTGATTTGTGTATTCTCGCTCATTATCGTTTGCTTCTCTCGGCTTACCGGAGCTATGCAGTCTTTTCCAATTGTCAGTAGAGATCTTTTAACATAAAAATGACGGATACCTGTAAGAAGCAGGCCGTTTAGAATAAGAGTTGTATATTTTGATGATGTATCGGTTTAATTTCCTGTTCAAAATTTTAATCGTCCGGAGCATCTCATGCTTACTAGTCCTGATCTGTTGGTCTGTGGCACCTCTTTTCCTGGCATTTCATAAAAATATGTGAACGTCCTAGTTGCCATCACCTGCCAGATTTCATAACTTC